AGACCACAGAGTGTGGGGATTGGATGGGTCATTATGGTTTCTTAGCTTCTGAGGGGAACAAAATATCAGTCCCCGCCACTCGTGGCTGGAAGGAGCCCTCTGGCAGAGAAATGCAAAGCTTTGGCTGTGTGCAGTCAGCATGTGGGAAAAAGCGCATTGCTTATAGCATCTTTCTCAACCCAAAGGGCTTCCTGGGCTTCTCAGGAGCCGCCAGCCACGGGATCAGCTCTGTGGGCAAAGCAAGCCAGTGGGCAGGGAAATGGAAGTCTTTCTAGCCAGTGAGAAAGACCTGACCCCTTTGCTAATCAGATAGGTTGGTGGATTTTCCAGTGCCTGCTGAGAAATTCCTTCTGAGGGAGGAGTTTATCTTTCCACAGTGTCAGAGAACAGTGGAGGATTTCTCTTTGATTCAAATGCTGTGCTCTTTGGCATTGAGCATATTCATTCAGCTGCTAGATGTCAATAACTGAGTGTCTGCTCACTTTTGCTGCAAAACAAGCACTTCCGAAATGCAAGAAGGCAGAGCTTAAAACAACCACTAGTTTGGTTCATGCTTCTGGGTCTGGATTTTGAGCTGGGCTGGGTGGACTGTTAAGCTGTTGGTTTCAGCTGAGCATGCACGCATTTGCCGTCACCCTTGGTCTGCTAGGTGGCTCTGCACCCTCTGTTGGGAGGGGGTGGTCCCTGGTCACCCGGCAGGCAGGCACGTGAGCACCGTGCACACTGCATCCTCGGTCAGCATGAGTGCTGGGATCAGCACGGCAGGGATTCCTGACACTGAAGGGACAGGCCAATGTGACAAACAGGGCCCTGGCTTGTGTGCCCGTGGCAGTGGGATAAGGAAATGAACATGGAGTCAGAGTTAAGCGGACCTTGGCTTGGGTCCTAGTGCGGCTGCTTCCTCAACAGGTGGCATTTGTTGCATTGAAAGCCTGTGGTGGAACATTGCTTGACGCCTGAAAGAAGGGATTTATAGAAGTTTGTTAAATAGGCAAGGTTGACAAATGCAATCAAGGATCATTAGTACAAGAACCTTATTAATGCCCTGTATATGACCATATATAACCCTTGAGTGTTTTTAAAGAAGGGGAGTTATGTCTTAAAAGAGTAAGAAGCTCTGCTTGGTGAATGTCCCACAGAACTTGACCACCTGGAGGGGGTCAGGGGGTCCTGGGCCTCTCTGGAGAGCTGGCTATGGATGAGGTTTCGGAGTCTCTGGGAGAGGGTGATGCCGATGTACTACCTGGGCATTATGAGGAAGAGGGCAAGGGCACCCTGTGGTCCCCCGAGAGACGTGGTGGTGTAAAGAAGGGGTCCTCAATAATATCAGTCTCTGGCTTGGAAGCTTTAAGGGTAGTATCTCCTGGCTGTGGCAAAGTGCTGATGGTTTTTGACAGAGGGCCATAGAAGCCTCAACATAAGGGATTTCCGACATTTCTTTGCCTTTTTTCAAAAGAGATCTAACTGGATAATAGCACTGTAATTCAGACTGCCAATTTCCAGCCGTGACCCTCTATCATCTAGTTTATATTGGGCCCAGCCCTACTGTGATAGAAAATAAGGTATTTCTTTCTCAGGTTATCAGAGCCGCATTGTCATGGGTACAGCCTCATGCTGAGGCTGAAGGAATCAGCGGGATGCGTCCCCTGGTGTCTGGAAGGACTTAAGGAAAGGGCAGAGAAGATCAGGCCTAGGATTCTCCCGAGGGCATCCCCATAGGAGGATGGAGACCCTGGGAACTCTGGGCTGTCCCCCTAAAAGCTCAAGTTTCTTACCAGGACTTCTCTGGGGAAACAGGTGGCACCAGTGCTCTTTAGTTCCTTGCATGTTTGTCTCTCTCTCTCCATAACTCATGACACCAGACAGAGCCTCTGGGGCTGAAGTGGGTGCCTTGACTGTGAGCCTTTGACTGATTTGGTGTCTGTCCCCCATCCTTGGATCCTCAATCAAGAGGAGATGATAAAGAAAGACCGTTGCTGAGAGCCAGCCTAGAGAGGGGAGTTGGGACCTGGGGAGGAGTGATGTTCTCAGTGACCTTCTCAGGTGTTATGTACCCTACCCAACCATAAGAGACCCAAAACATTACAGTGGCACCAGGCCCTTGACCTTGTGGGGGTTGATTTTTCATTTCCGCTCCTTCAGGTATCCTTGAATACCCTCCAGGTGTTTTCTTACGTCTGTAAGACACTCAGAGGGCAGCATGATCTATATAATGAAATGCTTTGACAGTGGTGGGCCGCTTAACAAGTTCAGGCCTGTGGCAAATGCTGGGGCTGTGTAGTAGCCCCGGGAGTACTTGAGAAGTCCTTTGCTGTTTACTCCAGGTGAACACACTCTGATCCTGGGACTCAGCAGCTAAAGAAACCACCGACATGACGGGCTCCTGTAGCCTGCATCAGTTGTTCTGCCAGGAGGGCAGTGCTGGGGGTAGAGGCATGAATGGAGGTGGGTGGGCAGCACTTTAGGTAGCTCCTCCTACCCTGCTGTATGCTCTATGAGCCATCCAGTGTCTTTACCAGCTCTACCAGACTGCCGAAAGGACCGTAACAGGGTAGTTTCTTTATCATATACTGTTTGTTATGAATCTTCCCATATGGGCAGACAGTTTTGTTGGATCCTTGTTTGCTCAACAATATACACCATATTTATGAACCTTGCCTATTTAACAAATACACATATACATGTGGAACTTGACTGGTGTGCAGGGTGTGCCCCAAAAGTATATTCACCCTTAGCATAAGCATGGTCTTCTTTACCTGTGAACACATCAGGATATGGATTTTCTAATGACAAGTTTGTTAGAGTGGGTTTGAATTGATTTTGGACAAACTCACGATTTCAGCAAAGTTCTTTGTGATAGTTATCAAAGGGGACTTATGCATAAGAATTCTTCCTTTACAACCTCCTGCTTTTCTTTACCTTTCCATAGGGCTGACACAATGATACCCATAATGCTCGTGCTTTCCTTGTGTTCCCCTCTTGTCCTTGTGATGGTTTCTCCAAAGACATTGCTAATCAATCACTTTCTACTATCCTTTGTCACCAGAACACCATTCTAGCTTTTGAGTTCCCACACTGTTGTCTGGTCCCACATTGTGTGTGTGTGTGTGTGTGTGTGTGTATGTGTGTGGTGGGGAATGACTGAGTCAATGTAATAGTGCCTTTGGCCATATTTGATCAATAAGGAGGTTTAGAAGGAATAGCTCTTAGGCCCAGTAAAACCAACATTAGCGAAACTCAGGATAGTCAAACATATGTTTGCTTTCCTAATCTTCATCCTCCACAAAACTTTCTCAGTCTACTCAGACCCCCCAGTTTTGACCTTATCCTTTCCTTTTTTCCCATCCTGGTCAGAAAGTATCTTACTGTACAAAATCCTTTCATACTGAAAACATATCTCCATACACATAGCTATCTTTACATCGCCTGTATCCACCTCACTGCTTCCCTTCTGTAACAAGCCTGGTAGATCCTTGAATTCTTGAATGCTTTTGACACATCTTTTCCCCTTTTGGTCTCAGCTAACTCACAGATGTGTACCTTGCAATTAGGATTGGCTCAACAACCTGGAATAGCAAAATTATCTTAGTTCAAATAGAAAAGAGAAAGTAGAGCAAATTAACCCTGTAATTGCAGTTTAAGAACTACCCTAATGCACAAAAAATGTTTTAAGCATGCCATTTAGACTAAAATATCAATTTAGATTGGAATCCAAAAGTAAATTTACTTATTGGCCATGGGCTCCTGTTCATTCCTCAGAGGTTGCAGGAAGCTTGGTTTCCTCCCCTGGAATCCCTAGAGAGAAGTCATCCCCAACTTTGTTACCCACTAGGACCTGATGCAGACTGTATGCTGTCCAAGAACTACTTTTCCCATTTGACACCCAGCTTTGTGGTTTAATGGGATTCCAGATATGAAAGCCATAACTTCTATCTAAAAGCACCAGTTTATCTGATGTCCAGGAAGATAGAGCAATTTGATGGATGGGGATGGTAGAAAAAGAAGAGTGTGGGTGACAGAAAGAGATGTGACTCATAAGAAGTGACTAAGCATGTAGACCCCAAATAGGGAGAGGGATCTGAAAAAGATATTTGTATGCAAAGGATGTAGGCAAGATTCCCAAAACCCAGAAGCAAACAGGGCAAAACATTCAGGCTGTAGGAAAATATTATGCAGTGAGAACATTTCTATCATTTTGTTGCACAAGCATAAAATATAAAACTGGCAGGTGCATGGGAGTTGTCTTGATTGTGTAGAGCCTATTATGTGCCTTCCCATGACTCAGTTATCCTGGCATGTAACCACCTGATCCATGCCCATAAGAGTCCCACCAGATAATTAAGACAGGGAGACAGTAAGACGTGTGTGTGTGTGGGGGGGTCTTCTTACCTCCTGGCTGCCTCGCCAAACGAGATGTTATCAGATGGAGCAGTCTTGGGGAGCTGTTTCCAGGTTCTTGATATCCTGAACAAAGAACAGAGCAGGACCCTTGGAGTGACAAGAGTATGATGTATTAAAAGTACAAGAAGCAAAGTTCCACACCTCAAGGGTGAAGTGGGCCAGTAAAAGAGCTCACAGCCCCATAGGGCCAGGCACTGTGTCTTTTCAGGTCCTGGGGTCTGTGACTGGGGATTGACAGAAGTTGTGGCCAAATGAGGTACCTGCCTTTGCTCACGCATTGAGAGGGGAAGTTTTTGACCATACAGAGCTTTGAAAGGCATCCAAAGCCTGCTGAAGGGTGGGGGTACTAAAACCACAATGCCAATGAGGTCCTGTACTTTTGAGTTTGCTCATGCCTGGGGGGTGTCTTGAGGGGCAAAGTGACCTTTACCTCTTGGTTTTTTGATATTTTGACATAGTCATCCTTGCACTGTCTGGTTTCTTAATTCTTGCCCCCATTACATCCTCCCACAAGTTGGCCCTCAGGTCCTGGCTGGTGCCCTCCTGTTGCCCCTCCTCCCCACCCCTCACTGCCTCTGGTGCTGCTCTGCCCCCTCCAGGTGCGTGGAGAGCTGCTGCGGGAGAGGGTGCACCGGCTGGAGGCCCAGGAAGCTCGCTTTGCAGAGTCACTTGTTGCTCTACAGTTCCAGAAGGCGGCCCGCTCGACCGAGACCCTGTCAGCCTACACTGCCCTGCTCACCCTCCAGGACCTGCTGCTGGAGGAGCTAAGCGAGTCTGAGACGCTGACCAAGCTGGCCTGCAGCCAGATCCTGGAGTCACATAGCCCAGTGAGTGTGGGCCGGGGACGGGGGAGGAAGCCACCATCACTCTTGCTTTCGCTAAACTAGCTCAGGGTCCCTGCCTGGGAGAAGCGGCCTGGAATTTTCACACCTCTGAAATTCAACACATCTTCCGGACAGGCACATGTCAGAGAGCTTCCTTGGGCACTGCTGCCTCTTCTCTAGAGCCCTGACAAACATGTCCTTCCGTTAAGGCCGTTGTGTGTGCAGCTCTACATTGGGGTTATTTATTTGTATACATCTAATTCTTATCAGTGTTCCTACATGCTACATTCTTTGAAGATATGAGAACTATATCCATGAAACAAAGGCTATGGAAATAACTCTTTTGAGGGCTGATTTTAGGCTTTTTGTGTGTAGATTTTAGAATGTTATATACTACCTGTTACTATGATAATTACTTATAAGCAGAGTTGGTGGCACACATGCCTATGATCTGGGAAGCTAAGGCAGAAGGATCTCAAGTTCAAGCCCAGACTGTGTCATTTAGCAATTGAGTGAGACCTTGTCTCTAAATAAAAAATGAAAAAGGCCGGGGATGTACTTCAGTGTGAAGACCCTGGGTTCAATTCCTACTGTCACACACAAGTAATAATAATACAAAATAATAACAACTGTTTTATAGTGAGGGAAAATGGTCTCGTTTAAGCATTAGTAATTTTTAATTATACTTTTTGAGATCATCATTTAAGCACAGTAATCAGCCACAGTGTTATCTGCTTTGTAACTATGCTCTTTGTCATGTACGCTGTCTCCATTATTGAGCCTTGCTGTGAACTAGGTCCTGCCATGCCCGGTCCTTAGGTAAATAAACTGAAACTCGGCAGGTAGCAGGTCACCTTCCCTGTGAAGACCACGTGGCCAATAAATGAAAGGAGCCAGGAGCTGAACCGATTTCTGACTTCGACACTCTGTCATGTTCATGGGTACCCTGTTGAGTTTGCCAGTGGGGTTCCCATCATTTCTTTTAAAAGTAGCAAATGACAGCAAACTCTGAAGAGTCCACCACTATTTTCTGGCAAACGCTCTGTATCCTGCATGTGTCAACTGTTTTAAGGGTAGCATGCGTCGTGGTTTATTCCCAAGCCTCATGTGCTCAGAGGCAGAGCTTTCAGGAGGTGATTGGCTCACGGAGCCACTGTAATCGTTAGTGGATTTGTCTGCTAATGAGTTTATAGCTAAAAGTGCTTTTAGGAAGAGGAGCCTGGTGGGAAGAGGTGGATCCCTGGGGGGCTTGGCCTGGCAGGGTTCATCTCCTTCCCGGCTCCTCCCTCCTGTCTGTGCTTCCTGTCCACCATGCCGTGAGCAGCTGTCCTTCACCAGGCCCTTCCACCATTGCTTCTGCCTGGAGCTGGCTGACCATGCAAAGACCAAAACTTATAAAATGTGGCTCTTCCTTTAAGTTATGGGCACTGGATGTTTTGTCCCAACAACGAGGAAAGAACTAAGACAGCATCAAAGTAGGGTCATTGTTGGTGTTTTAGCACAAAAAGTTCAGGTGCTGCAGAAATAAAAATAACACGTGCTTTTCGTGCTTTGTGAGCTCACAGAGAATATGGCAGATTGGAAGTACATTCGGCCATGGGGTGATAGGGCTCAGTGTTAAGATCATAGGAAATATTAGAGGGGAGGAACAACATGAACCTGTAGGAAGCAGAAGATAGGGGGAAGAGTCAGAGATGAAGCAATGGATGTCCTGATGTGGGGGATACCGAGTGAGGGCTGCGACAGGAAGTCACCTGCTGCAAAGCCTGCCTGTCCCCGCTTTGCTCATGGGTGGGGAGTCCTCCCAGTGAGCAGCTAATGAACGGCCCAGCTAGGTGGGGAAGGAGTCCAGATCAGTACAGTCACTGAGTCAGGGCATCACCATGCGGATAAATTGAAGAGGTTCCAGGTTGGCTATGGACCTGGTCCAAAGACCCATGGTCTCTAGAGAGAAGTACTCTTGCTTGGGAGTGTTGGAATTTTTGCAGATTACGTTCAACTGTGAGCTTTTCAAAGGGGCGAAAAGTCACAGAGCACATTCAGGACCTCTGTAGGGGAGAAGCAAAAAGAAAACAGATGAAGATCCCAGAAGACTTCAGATAGCCAACTTATCAGCACAGAATTTAAAGCAGTGACTTATGAATTGCTGAAGAAGTCAAAGATATACAAAAATATTTTTACATCTTTCTTGGAGCATATAGTGATTCTAAACTTTCCACGTATTTTTTTAAAAGGCTCAAAATAATAAAAAGAAAAACTGGTAGAATGGGGAGAATTGGTAAATCCATCATTGTAGAAGGAAATTCCAGCACACCTATTTTAGAGTGGTTTGGTTGGTCAAATAAAACACAAGATACAGATAAACTGAGCACTGCATACAAAACAGTTTTTAGCATATATTTATAGGACTTGGCAGCCAGCAAACAAACAGTGTATGTTCTCCACCACATACCAGATAATCGGCTGTATTGATACCCTTTTGGCCACCTTTTGACAAATACCAGTTAATTTTAAGGTAAGTTTTATACAGAGAATGACAAAAAGTCTATACTTTGAAAATTTTAAAATATACCCCTGAATAATTTGTGGGTCAAAGGAATAGTAGAAATTTTAAAGTACGTTGAGCAGAATGTGCATGTGGTATATCAAAATACATGGAATTCAGATCAAGCAGTTTTCAGAGGGAAATTTTTATCCTAATCTTACATTAGGAAGGAACAAACTCCCATAATTAATATCATATAAAATACAATATTAGAGGGGAAATAACAAATGAACCTTAGGAAACAGAAGGAAAGAAAACAGCCCAAACAAAATTAAAAATGATACTATAGCGAATCACTGTGTAGTAAATATTGCATTTTTGAAAAGAAAAAAAAGCCTGAATGGAATGTCCAAATCTCTGGCAAAACTACTGAAGAAAATAAGGAACAAAAAATAAATAGTATCAAAAGTTCAAAAAGCAGCAACTATAGCTGCACAGAGTTTTTAAAAATAGATACTATGAACAACTTTTTGTAGAGGAGTTTGAAAATGAAATAAATTCTAGTACAATGTAAATCATAAATATTGACTCAAGTTAAAATAAATTGTATAATCTTAATGCCACGAATGAAACTGGTTCAGGAGTTAAAATCTTCCTGAGCACACAGTTGTGCCAAAGCCTGGTAGTTTCATTGGTGTGCCCTGCCAAGCCTTGAGGCGAACCTATGGCACGTGTCCTGCAGTGGGCACACAGAGCCAAGTCGCCCTGGCATCGCCCCAGCACCTGGGCATCAGGTAACAGTGTACACAGGGGTAGCACTGGCACTTTGTCATAAATAAGTGGGTTCAGGGTTGCAGTTCGGGCATTCCGTCTCTAAAAGGTTCGCCATCTCTGCCTGAAGGAGTTTTGTCAGTCTCGTGTACACATTATTCATTATTACTGGTGTTGGAAAAGACAGAATAGTCCTCAGTTCATTTTATGATTCTCAGTTAACCTTGACACCAAAAAACGGTCCAAGAAAACGATTGCATTTGTGAATATAGATGTACAGTTTGTAAATAGAATGCTTTTCACACAATCCATCCATTTATAAATAATTTAAATACATCAAGGCCAGGTTCAGTTCATCCCAGGGATGTGAGGTTGGTTTAGCCACTTACAAAATCCACCTGATCAGCAGGTTAAAGGGGGAAACAGCCCCTATGATCATTTCAGTGTATTCACGATAAATATTTGATGGGCTGTAAGATACATTCAAGATGAAACTCACCAGCGAACCAGTAGCAGGAGGAAATCTCAATGGAGCATTTACCCCACACCCACAGCACTCGGTAGCTTGGAGGTGGCCAATGCCCCGAATCCCAGGTCGGAGGGAAGGACAGCCCATGGTCATTTGGTGAGTTGGGACACAGGGAGACCCTGGAGCCTCTGGCTTTCAGCTCGCGATCGCCTGCTCACCCCAAGTCCCTGAGGAACACCCAGCGTTCAGCTCTGCAGTGCCGTCTGTCACTCCCTTTTCCATTTGTACCGTCAGAGCTCTCCTCACCAGTCCCTCCGGAAGAGGAGCATCGTCCCAGCGTCCTTCCTTGGAAGCCACAGGTGGTGACTCAGCTGACGCATTAACTAAGTTGGGGGCCACGGGCACCCTGCTCCTTTTCCTTCGCTTTGCATTTGTGGGGAGCTCAGCCTGTTTGGCTCCAGAGATTAGACTGTCATTCTGCAATTGTAAACCACTTTCCTGTTGGGAATGAGCTGCTAACCGTTCTGGAGCATTCAAAAGCATGAAATGAAGTGTTTTGGAAGAAATGACTCCTAAGAAAACTGTATCCAGTGCTGTATCTTCGTTCGCTGAACGATTTCGGCTCATTTTGTGAGATTGGAGCATAGGCGAGGTGTAATTGGGTCCCAGTGCCAAGTGGCAACGGTGGGCGCATTCCAGTAGGGTGTACTTACTGGGGAACAGAAGATGTGACCCTAAACTAACTGCACCCACCGTATCTGTATTTCAGTGGAAAGTGCTGAACGTCCGCTTCCCGGACCTGCGCCTTCCTCCCCTCTTCCCTGTGCTTCACTGCCTGGTCGATTCCTTCTGAGTTTTCACTTCCACCTTCTGCTCAGCTTCACTGCTCCGACAAACCTAGGGCTCCGGAACAGAAGCAGTACCACTCTGCCAGCACGACTCGAGCTCACACAAGGCCAAGGCACCGTGTAAAGTGCCCGAGCCCTATGTCCACCCCGTTCTGCAGGCGCTGGGGGCGGCTGAGGAAGGGCAGTCATTTCTCCAGGGTCTGCGGTGGCAGAGCAGACCCGTTCCTGTGAAGCTGTGGTCCTGTTCCAACATCGTGCCTTCCTGCTCCCTGCTTTCCTGCCCTGTCTCCCCTCCGTGCTGCGGCCACCGGGATGTCTCTGGAAAATAGCTGATCCTCCACAGCCCTCCCCCAGCTCTACACTGAAAATCTTCCCTCCCATTCGCCCAGGCTTCAATGCCCTTTCCTTCCCGCTGCTCCTAGCCCTGGAGATACATTCAGGCATCCTCTTTTGAGAGGCCTCCCCCAGATTGCTTCGCCGCACCTCCTTGCAAACTCCTCCTATGCAGATTCTAAGTGAGCCCCTGTATTGCCCCTCCAGCGCGCGTCTCTCCCAGTTCCCCCACCTGAGTTTCGGTGATCACACATGGTAGTGTTTCCTGTCTCGTGTTTGTGTGCACACAGCTGTCTCGCTCACCACACTGCGTTTGCAGAACCCGGGAGCCAGGCCTCCTTCCCATTCACACCGAGTCCCTTTGCCCAACCAAAGGCCTGACACTGCATTGCCTTTCTCCTTTTCCCTCCCTCCTCCTCCCTCCTCCTCCCTCCCTCTCTCCCTCTCTCCCTCCTCTCTCTCTCTTTTCTCTCCCTTTATTTCTCCTTCCTCTCCCCTCCCTCCATGACTTCCTTTCTTTTTACTCTTTCATCCACCCACGCACCCATCCACCCACCGTCATCTCTGTTCATTCGCCTCACAGATATCCAGCAAGTGCTGATGGGAGGCTGCGGACCTAAGAGAAGGATCCCAGAGTCAGACAAACCCTGAATCTCTCTTGGCTCTGTCCCTGCCCAGCCCCACAACTTCAGGAAATTTACTTCTATTCTTTGTTGCCTCGGTTACCTTATCTACAAAATGGGGTAATTATAAATTTCTACCTTGCGCTATTTTTCCAAGGTTACATAAAGTAATTTATGTAAAAGTACTCGGAATGAAATTTGACATAGCGTAGGCCTCGGTGAGTGCCCGCTGACCTCTTCTTCCTCTTCCTTCTGCTTTTCATTGCTGCTTCTTCCATGAACTGGGCCCCTTGCTTCCTGCTGCAATCAGTATACACCAGGCGCTACATCCCAGAGTTCCTGCCCTCAGCACTTGCAGTCCAGGGAGGAAGGCAGGCATTAAAGCAGTTCCAGAAGTGAGTTTCAGATTCCAGTTGTTCTGAGTGGCCGCAGGTGTGGACACAGGGGCAAGTGTCCGGGATCAAGACCGAGGCGCTGAGAGAACATGCCGTCCGGTGAGGACCTGCAGGCCACACGGTCCCCAGCATGTGTTCCTAACCAGGGCCAGCCCTCTGTGCCCTGCTGCTTTCCCTGGTGACGCTGCCACCGGCCTGCTGGAGGGAGCTCATTGTTGGAGACTGCACAGTTACCTTCCTTCCTACTCGGCTACTGCAGCAGCTAGAGTGATGCTCGTAATTCCAGATCTCAGCGTGTTCCAGAGCTTTCCTAGTCTTTGGGGACAGAGCCTATGTGTGTGGCTTGGAGGTCAGCTCCCTGTGCTGCACCTCTCTGGCTGTTTTCCCTTCTGTCTTGAGTTTTGAGTAGTGTTTCAGAGCCTTGAGGGGCTGGGGCTCCTTTTGCGAGTGTAATGTAAGCTTCAGCCCCTCAGCAGAAAGGCAAGCCATTCTGTGCAGATCAGGAACCTGATCGCAGGGCCAGGACGCTCACGATGAGCCCCGCTCCACCCTAGCCCTCACAGCGCAGCCACTGCATAAATAACTGGTTAAACCAGGTCCTTCTCTCTACCCTTCCACCAGGGAGGGCGCTCTTCTAATTTGGTGGCTTTAGGAATTCAGATTTCCCTGTGTTTGGCCACGCAGTGGCAGTGTGGTATAGTGCTTAAGACCTCGAACCCTGGGTCCAGCTGGCCTGGCCTCAGATTCTAGTTCTGCCACTTATTAATTGTGTCACCTGGCAAATGACTTTCACCTTCTCTGCCTCCATATCCTGGTCTGCAGGACAAGGGAAGCAGGAGTACATTTTCTAAAGGGTTGTTAGAAGGATTCAATGAGACCAGTAAAGAGGCTTCCCGATTTAGGAGGTGTGATCGGAATATACGGTGAATGTTTAAATTTTTCAAAATTTATTACAGTGAAAGACATATTTGCCATGAATGCCCCTCACAATCCTCCCTCTCACTGCCACTTTCTGAGGCAGCTCTGGAATATGTTTTGGTATAATACAGTTCTTGAAATGGAAACATTCATTGCCTATTTCTGTCAAACCTCCCCATGAAACATGGAAAGTTGAAAATGTCGTAGATTGGGATGACACTGAGTCTGTCTAATCTGTGGACTGTCACAGCTTAGCAGGCCAGCACACTGCAGAGAGGCAGGATTTCCCTTAGTCACGAGGCTGCCCAGACCTGCGATGCCTTTGTGGTCCAGCATCGTAAGAAAACGTCATGCTGTATATCTCTAGCCAGGAAGAGATCCAAATCTGAAACTCATAGTATGGTTTGTACTGAACTCCTATTGCTTTGAGTCTGCTGTGAAGTCACAAGTAAGTGGAGCCATTGTAAGCTGGGCACTGCCCATGTAGAGGGAGCCCTGGAATAGGCTGCATGGCTGCTGCATCCAGCACAGCTTCCGCCATGGTGGACACAGGCTGGTGCTCTGCAAAGAGCCAGTGACAGCACCAGCTGCAGACAGGCGACTCAGCCCTGCCCTCAGGGAGCTCACACTGTAGCTAGAGGTACAGCCCCATGGTTCAGGTGACTGAAAGCTATTCACCTTCCCTGGGGACATGGGAGCCCGTCATTGAGGGCTTTGAAAGTCAGATTTGTAAAGAGACTCAGGTGCTCAGGCAGATGGGCCGGGACACTGCCAATGGAGCGAGCAGCAGGTGTGAGGCCACAGGTGTGAGGAGGTGGCCGTCACCTTGCACGGTGGGCACAGCTGCCCAGGGAGCCAGGCAAGCCCTAGGTGCCTGCAGAGATGCTGTGCCTAGGTACTGGACTCACTGCTGCCTCCTCTCCATGCAGGAGCTCCAGGAGCTGGAGCGGAAGCTGGAGGAGCGCCTGGCACAGCAGGAGGCCGCCCAGCAGCAGCGGGCCCTGGCGAGCTGGCAGCAGTGGGTGGTCGACGGGCCTGGGGTCTCGAGTGAGCCAGGGGAGGCAGATTCCGAAGGGCACTTCTCCTCCATCCTGCAGCAGGCCCTGAGCAAGGCCCAGCAGATGCTGGAGCTCCATCAGCAGAGGTGGGTGCAGCATGGCCTGGGGTGTCGCCCCTCGCAGGCATGGGGGCTCTGGCTTCCACCCTGCCTCTAAGGAGCCATCCCAGGGCTTGGACAGTGCTGCTAGCTTTGAAGGACCCCAGCTTTCCTCTTCCCTGACACCCTTCTTTAATTAAGGTCACTGAGGTTTACTAATGTGTTTAGACTTTTTATTTAAAAAAATCGTAGGCCCAAAAGAAGCTGTCAGAACAGTGTAGAGATCCCACATACCCCTTACTCAGCTTCCCGGTCTGGAAACATCAGGCATCATCAGCGCATCATCAAAACCGGGCCCAGACACTGGCCCATGATGAGCTTCATTCAGATTTCTCCACAGACACAGTGCTTCATGTCCTGCCTTTGTAGAATTATGAAACAGACAGACCTCTCAGTCTTGTTCCTTGGCTTCCTTTTCAATTAAACTAGATGATTAGCCTTTGTCCGTGACATTAACAGTTTCGGAAAGAACCATCTTTTACAGCTCTCTCATCTTCTCCTGTGAACCCAACACTGAAGTGGAAAGGGCAGAATGCAAACTGTATACTTGACCCGGCGGGGCTGATTTTGCAGAACACATAAATGAATTGGAAGGAAACAGACCCAGCTTTGATGGGCGTGATCTCTGGGTGATGAGATCACAGGCGATTTTAACTTTTGTGCTCATGCACTTCTGTGCGAGCACAGCAGCGAAACGCAGCTGAGTTCCCTTGGAGGAATTGTGTGAGGGGCCAAGTGTGCACGCTTGAGGTGTGGCGCGGTGAGGCTGGGGTTTGGGGAAGGGCCGCTGCTCTCGAGGGGTGTGCTTGTCAGAACAGCCTTGGTTGGACCTGCAGAGGCGCTGGCGGTAACAGTGGTGGATGGGGGTGGATCCAGGCTGCCAGCTCTGATCGGTGAGGGGAGGCATGGCAGTCTGGATACTTCCGGGGGAGAGGTGCCGGCCATGGCCATCTTGTGGTCACAGCCAGGGCCATCTGGGCACAGGGGCTCTGGGTCAGTTACAGCACAGGGCCAAGGGGTGCGGATCCCAGGTCTTGGCCTTCTTGGTGCTGGCCACGAGGAGCAGGACAGAGCTTTCATAGTGGAACCACAGCTCCTCAGGGCCACTAGAGTGGCCTTGGGCTCCCACGGTGCTTCTCGCTGAGCAGCCTGCCCACCTCGAGAGCTCACCGAGAGCTGTTTGGGAAGCAGACCAGGGGAGGAAGAAGCACTCCACTCATCTCTTTTTATATGTATATGAATGTGTGTATTATTTTTTTATACACACAGGTGTCTGTGAAGATATCAATAAAAAATTGTATTACAGTAAAAGACATGTTGTCACCAATCCCCTCAGAGTACTCCCACTCGCTTTGAACACACTGGTCCCACCTTTCTTGCCACTTTCTACAGCAGCTCTGGAGTCCTCTTTCCTGAGGGTCTTTACGGGATGTGAGCAAAGCTGCACTGAGTGCTGCTGCCACCAGCGCCATCCAGTGGACAGTCAGCCTCATGACAACATGACAGTGTCCTCATGTTTTATCCACCTTATTCACCGTGACTTCGGGGTCTTCCTCAAAGTCAAAAGGACCAGGAAAGGGAAACGTTTTGGATTGATTCAAGACATTGAGGCAGCCATGACAGTGCAACTAAAGACCCTCAGGAAGGAGGACTCCAGAGCTGCTGCAGAAAACAGCAAGAACGGTGGGATAAATGCGATTGAAATAAGGGGAAGGATTTTTCAGGGTAACTAGTGGCGATGTATCTTTTACTCTGATACATTTTTAAAAATGTAAACATTCTCTGCGTTTGTCCGATCCTGCCTTGTATAGATGTATAATTTTTGTATGTATGTTACGTCTTGAAGCTTAGATGTGTGACTCCGTTATGGAAACAACTCTCCGACCTTCCCATAGTTGCCCTTTGTACACAGCTGGACTCACGAGCCTGGACTTTGTCTCCACTGCAGTTTGAGAGAGGAGCAGCAGAGCAGTGCAGTGCTGGAGGATTTGCTGGAAAACATGGAGACTGACACCTTGGCCACCCTGTGCAGCCAGGTGAAAAGATGCCTGCATGCTTTGGGCCTTTCTCCTGCCCATGTAGACTTCCCTTCTCAGAACCTGCAGACGCGGTAGATGCCCTTTGCATCCTCAGCTCACATCCTCAGATCAGTCAGCTGAGACATAATTTTTTAAAAAAGGCTGAGAGTGGCGGCACACCCCTGAAATCCTAGCACTGTGGGAGGCTGAGGCAGGAGGATGGCCAGCTCAAGCTCAGCCCAGGCAGTTGAGTAACTCAGTGAGACCTATCTTAAAATAAAATGATTGAAAAAGGTCTGGAGATGTGGCTCAGTGCAGAGTCCCTGCGTTCAATCCCTAGTGCTAGGTGGGGGAAAGAGAAGGAAAAGGTTCTTTGCTGTCACCACCATGAAGGCCTCCCTGAGCCCTCCTCTCTGGCAGCCCCACCCCACTGCCTTGAGCCCCCGACAGCCAGGGCTGTTCTCCATCTCCAAACTGCATCCAGGCTGTGATGTGTGTGTGGACTCCCATGGCCTGCAGCTTTTGGGCACTGGTCATGTCCACACTGCACAGCGTGCCTGACACCCGTCCAGTCCCGCTCACTGCAGAGCAGTGTCCACGGTGAGGTCAGTGTCGTGGTCCCCACTGGCTTGGGGATGCTCCACTTGGCCGCAGAGCCTGTCTGTTTCCTGGGGCTGCGAGGCCTCCTCAGAGCTGGGCAGGAGGAGGGGAACCTTCCTAACTGTTGCACCTCCACCCACTCTGCTGTGACATGGGCCCCCCAGATGAGCTGAGCACACTTGCGAGGGGAACATGAAGCCTTTCAAGATGTCGTGGGGTGCCAAGGTTGCTGACCACATTTTTTTAACAGCCCTGTGAATTTGGAGGTGTTTTCAGACTGAGCTACTAATTTATTACCCTGAGAGCAGAAGCCTTAAGATGTAGTAAATTAAAACTTAGCCGCACAGTCTAGTGATGGCCAGGGTCTGAGCTCCCTGCCTTGTTCTCAGGAGCTGAGGCTGGCGGCTTACCTCTTGAGGATGACCATGGTGCCCGGGGCCACGCTGGGCCGCCTTCTGAGCGTGGTGATGCCCACGGCCCCGCAGCCGCAGCTGCTGGCCCTGCTGGACTTGGTCAGCGAGAAGCCCTCAGAGCACACGGCGGAGAACCCGGGCAGCGGGGAGCAGCCCGACCCGGGCAGGAGGAGGTGAGAGCTCTGAGTGGCCACAGAACCTGTCCCGGAACACAACCACAGAGGGAAGGACCAGGCCCGTGTTCCTCTCTAGCTGGCTCCTCAGCCACGGCAGGCCTCAGGGTTTTCTGATGCTGCCGCCAATTTATTTTTCAAGTAGAATCAAGAAAATGTACCCAGGGCTGTGAAGGTGCAATACATACCCATTAACTCACTTCTGGTTTGCCCAGAGAATACTGTGTGGCGGAAAAGCAGCACTTTTTTTTTTTTTTTTTTTTTTTTAACGGAGAATGAAAATG